AACGCTAGGCGACTCGCAGGACTCTGACTACCGTGCCATTTCTACCGACTGGCCTATTTTTGCATTTGCTCATGACCTTGGATCTGTGGACTCCACAGCTTCAGTTCTATACTCTATCGGTCTTGCCCAGACCGACGCAATTCAGTACGAAGGAAATAGCAGTGGTTCCACTATTCTACCTTCGCTGTGGACCAGTTATTTCAGCACGGGCCCAGAAGCTGTAAGTCCCACAAGATAAGGTTGCTAGGGCTATACTAATGCTGCCTCCAGCTGGACTTCTTCCATAATGACTATGCGACATCTTCTTCGCTCTCGTCGGATCTTGATACTCAAGTAGCCCAGGATTCCATTGCCGCAGCTGGACAGGACTACCTGACGATCACTTCTCTCACGGTCCGTCAAGCTTTTGGCGCAACCCAACTGTGCGGAACCACGGACAACACCTACCTGTTCATGAAGGAAATCTCATCGGATGGAAACGTAAACACAGTCGATGTCATTTTCCCGGCACATCCAATTTTCTTATACACAAACCCCGAGCTTCTCAACCTGTTGTTGAAGCCGCTTTTCGAAATCCAGGAGTCTGGCAACTACCCCAACGCATACGCCATGCACGATGTAGGGAGTAACTATCCCAACGCTACTGGTCATCCTAAGGGTGATGATGAGGCAATGCCACTGGAAGAATGTGGCAACATGGTCATAATGGCTTTGGCATATGCGCAGAAGGCGAGCGACACGGCTTACCTGTCTCAGCATTATACCTTGCTCAACCAGTGGACGGCGTACCTTGTGGAGGATGCAATCTACCCTGCCAACCAAATCTCGACGGATGACTTTGCAGGCAGCTTAGCGTACGTGCAGAACCCCGCTTTATGTGATATTAGATGCTAACAACAGGTATAGAAACCAGACCAACTTGGCCTTGAAGGGCATCATCGGTATCGAAGCCATGGCTGTCATCAGCAACGAGACTGATCACTCTGATAATGGGGCCAACTACACTGCCATTGCTCACAACTATATCGACCGATGGCAGATTCTGGGTGTCGCGCACGATGCCAACCCTCCTCATGCGACGCTTGCTTATGGCTCCAACAACACCCACGGTATGTTCCACCTCAATAATGCCAGAGTACGTAATACTGACAGCTACTAGGTCTCCTATACAACCTCTATGCCGATCGGGAGCTGGGCCTGAACTTGGTTCCACAATCTATCTACGACATGCAGAGCACCTTCTACCCCACTGTCCAACTAGAGTACGGAGTACCGCTGGACACTAGACACAATTACACAAAGGGTAAGCTTGACACAGCCCTACCATGGTGTTCACTTATTAACCTGTTCTACTAGCCGACTGGGAAATGTTCACTGCGGCCATCGCATCAACCAGCACGCGGGACATGTTCACGCAGCTTCTCTCGAAATGGATTAACGACACGCCCACAAACTACGCAATGACTGATCTCTACGATGCAGTTGGCGGAGGGTAAGCAAGAACTAACAACCCACTTTGATTTCAATCAGCTGACGCATAAATCATAGCTACCCATCCAACGTCTTCATCGACCGCCCCGTCGTAGGCGGCGCCTTTGCCTTGCTCCTCCTCAACCAAGGCAACTAAACCACTTCTCTCGTTTCATTCCGACTCATCCTTGCAACTGTGCATATTATCCCCCTGCTTGGTTCAGTGGAGCCGTCCCATTCTTCTTCAGCATTCGATGTGCAGGTCACTCGTTATACATTTATATTGAGCTCTTTATTGTTACTATTGTTATATATTGCTTAAGCAGGGATATTGCCCCCTCCCCGTCTTTTTGTCACTTTCGTTCAAACTTCCTCTATGGGTATTACGGGGGAGGGGGTTTACAGTGAATGCATAGGGCATCGTCGAGTACATAATTATCTTCTTAGGAAGCTGCAAATATCACTTTAATTATCTTTGCTACTTGGCTCTTACTGTGTAACCTCAGATCGGTAGACAAAACACATAGTTAACTGCATTTGGCTATATATGGAGCTATTCGTGGAAACAGATCTGGACTTCATTGAACTCCAGGAAAGACATGAACTTTTGGCGCAAGACACCACATAATCCATAATCATCATTCATCCATACCCATACCCATACCCATACCAAGCCTGAAGTATCCTATACCGACAAGTAACTAAACTCACAGCACATCATGAGCAAGTTCATCATAATCCGCAGCAACAACAGCATCAACAACAGATGAATCATCCCATCCGTCAAAAGAGCGAATAAGATCTATAACACAAGTCAGTTCAACCCACCCACTCATTACAAATATACACCTATAAGAAAGAAAAAAAAGAAATATACATACCGTAATACAGCATCATCGCCTCCAAATGAATATCGATATCGATCCTCTCATCCACAGTATGGATATTCAGCGCTTTACCCGCTCTCGACGGACTCCATCTATAAATATTCCTCGACAAGGGCCAATAGAATCTCGTATCGGTATTCCCGGTCATGATATCTCCGCTGACGACGACCTTCCTGCCCTCGAGACTCGGGACGGACTCGAACACGGAGCGAGTGACGCCCGAGAACCGGGCCCAGACGGCGTCGGTGTCGGTGTTCGTTGGACTGACTGGGGCGGGGCTGAGGGCGCCGCTCAGGGTAGTGAGGGTGAGGTGGTTGTTGAGGGAGGGATCGACGGTATCGCTTTCGGGGAAGGCCGTGAGGGAGAGGTTATATTTCTTCACGATGGGGGAGATGATATCCACAGCGCGGTTCTTGATATCATCTGGGGTTTGGTGCAGCGCGATACGGTAGTTGACGAGGGCGCTGATTTTCTCTGGGAGAGCGTTGGATTTGACGCCGCCGTTAATGATGTCTGCTGCTTGGGAGGTTTGGAGGATGAAGCGGAACTTGTCGCCGCGCGAGGAGGCCAGCTTCTCTGCGAGAGAGACGTAGTCGCTGGATTGGAGGGCGGAGGCGAGCCAGGGCTCGACTTGCGAGGGGGAGTGGCGGACTTGGCATTCGAGCATTTTGCGGGTTGGGTGGTGGGTGTCGAGGACGGGGACGAAGAGGTCCTGGCGTTCGAGCTCGTAGATGATTTCGGAGATGATGCCGATTCCTGTGTGCGGAGGGGGCACGGAGCTGTGGCCGCCTGGGACGGCGAGGGTGAGGACTACGTCGATGCTGCCCTTTTCGCCGACGCCCGGGAGGGCGTAGACGATGCCGTTGGAGGTGTCGTCGAGGACTTCGAGGCCCATGCCGCCTTCGTCGAGGATGAAAGCGAAGCTGTCCGGGCCGTATTTCTTCTCGAGGAATTTGGCGATGGATCCGGCGCCGAGGAAGCCGTGGGATTCTTCGTCGAAGCCGAAGGCTAGGACGACGGTGCGGGTTGGGTTCCAGTTCTGGGAGAGTAGGTCTTCGACAACGGACATCAGTCCGATCAGGACATTCTTGCAGTCGCTGGCACCGCGGCCCCAGAGCCATTCGCCGTCGAAGTGGCCATCGAAGGGGGGGTAGGTCCAGTCGGCGGGGTCGTTGATGGGCACGACGTCCTGGTGCGCGGTGAAGAGCAGGGGTTTGAGCGAGTCGTCTGTGCCATTGAGGGTGAAGACGAGACCGAATCGGTTGATGTGATCTACACGGGCGTAGGAGTGGCTGGATTGTGTTAGATGGAGTTGCGTGGATGGGGACTGCGGACGTACGTGAGGGGGAAGAGGGTCTTTAGGAGGTTCTGGAAGTCGAGGAATGGGGCGAACTTCTCGTCGTAAGGGTCCTTCATGTAATCGTCGATTGCGGTCGGGACCTGGACGGCCCTGGAGAGACGATTGACTTGGCGCGACTTGAACGAGGCATCTTCTACGAACTTGAGAGCTGGGAAGAGTCCGTCGTCAGGGACCTCAACCTTGGGTGCTAGCGGACAGAAGCCGTCGGTGTGCTCTCCGAAAGTAAGAGAATCGAGGATTTGCTGCGGGGAAGGGATGCTGAGGGCTGCAATTGAAGGGGCAAGCAGCCCTGCGACAAGGGGAAGCAATTGGAACTTGGACATCTTCGATTCCTGGGGCACTTTCTGCAGAAGATAGGAACCCTGGGGGAATCGGAGGATAATAATGAGGAGGAGGGCAAGGCCGAGGCTACGTCAAAGCATGGGGTTATCTTATCGCAGAGTTGCGCAATCATTGCCGTGATAGCCTTTCCCCTCTCCGTATCGCTCGGGTTGATAAGTTTGCCGGTCGGAGAGCGGACGGAACCGCTCAGCTGGGGAAAGAATTGCCATAGCAGGAAGGTCGAGGCAGGCGAGATGAAAGTGCGGTAAGTAAGCTTGAGTAGGAAGATAGCATGCAGTAACGGGTTCTGTGATGCATTGGATTTTGGGTATATAGCGGAGAGCTGAATGAAGGCATTGGAATTGAGTTGCAATTGCAGTGACATTAAGCCCACACATTGATGGACCAGCAAGACCTCAATAATGGATTATTTTCCACCACAATGTCATCAATGAACCCTCAGCATGGCATCGGCCGAACCCGTCCAGCAGCGATCTCTCCTGCGTAAAGGTGACAAATCAAGGGATGCAATGTTAGTCATTAGTCTCACAAGGATTGCCAATAGCGACACCCCTTTCGTTCACTTGTTGCATATTATCGTCGGTCGGCAACATTGGCATTCAACATTGCCTGGCGGATTTCACCAGTCCGGGACTTCTCCCCCTGCCATTGTTGGGGATTGTATCAATTGGCAAACATGACAATTGGTCAACACAGCAGCATTGGCCATGAGACTGTCTGCAACAAGTTCTGCAGACGTCAGTGCATCCCCGTGGCGCGATCAAGCTTGTGGACGATCGGCGCTTAACATGGCCGGTGATTTATGCGGAAGATTCGAACACTGACAGAAGCAAATTGGCGGAGTGGCTGACGCTAAAGCAGAGCGAGTGCAACTAAGTAAGAACTATAAGAATGTCGAGGGAGACGAGGAAGAGGGAGAATTGGGAGTATCAGGTGCCAGTCTCGTGATCGGCACCAAACGAGGCGATAAAAGTACAATGCAGCTTCAACATGGCTCCCTTTCAATCCATTTCTCCATTCTGCCTGCCAACTCTGCCTTCCGACTTTGGTTCCATGGGTCAGGAACAAAACAAACAACAAGCGAGCATCCACCACTGAAGATGCTAAGAATACTACTACTATCTAGGTAGCCCCAGTCCGACCAAGACACAGCCTCATCTAACAAATAATATTTGTCGCAGACCATGAACGTCATTCTCCTCTCCACAGGGGCTCCCCAGCCTGACGACATCCACAGGGCCGAAAGAGTCTGACAATCGATAGTCGGCCGCGTGGTGGTCTCAGAAAGCAATAGTGCGTCGATCGTTACATCACCGGAACAAACAACATCCCTCGCTCGGGTACCTGGCGAACGGTGTATCCGCATTGCGGAGGCTTGTAGCCCACTCAAATGGGTCCTCCTAAGACCAACACCGTCAACTCGACAGGAGCAATGATGAAACATAGCCCCCAAGACAGCAAGGGATCGGCCATAACGCGCGGGACGTGGAGCCGAGCGAACCATTTTGGAATCCGGAGAATCAGATGGGCGTTCGTTCACGCGATCTTCAGATCGGCATTCTACTGCGTTTCACACGCCGATTTTCGTGTCAACTTCGGGTGTTCCAAAATCCCAAGGGGTTGGGTTGGGTGCCAACCCCATCCTGAACGATGGGATAATCGGATGGATCATATTTAGGTTATGCCTGCCAGTGAGTTTTGCTGATATCAGTGTTTCAGTTCGTTCCTTTATCACTTTCTCTCGTTTTCCTGCCGGTATATAACTACTTCTACATACATACATACAAAATCCACTCTCGTTCATCAAAGAAAAAAACCAAAAAGGAAACTGCCTTATAACTTCCATTCTTTCATTGTTCTTCAAAATGCCTAAAGCCAGTGCTACCAAGATCATTTCCCTTTCAATCCTCTCCTTCCTCACTACCGCTTCTGCCTACACCACCGCAGGCTGCTATAGCAGTGCCGGCCAGCTAACCTCGGCGGGCACATATCAATTCCAATCCGAGGGCTACTGCCAGCAAATCTGCACGAAGCAAAACAAGCCCGTCTTTGCCCTCCACAATGGCGACGAATGCTACTGTGGCGACGCCCTGCCTCCTTCAACAGCGAGGGTCTCTTCCACCCAATGCCAGACCCCCTGCTCGGGATTCCCTTCTGAAACTTGTACGTATACCTCCGTTACGCCCTCATCTACTGCCTTCAACGATCATAGACTAATACATAATGCACTATAGGCGGCGGCGCCAATGCATGGCTAATCAACAACTCCACCACAGTCTCGGAGTCCACCACCGACAACAAACTTGTCACGGAACTGAAACGTGAATCCACCGACAACGTCGAGAACGGCATCGTGATTGCCCCAGAGTCCGATGACTCCGACTCGTCCTCGGGATCCTCCAACTCCTCTCCTGATACCATGAAAGTCAACCCTACCCTGGTGGAGACCGGTATCCCCATCGCCAGCTCCGCTGCAGACGGAGGCGCAGCCAAGACCACTGTCCCAAGTGTGATCCTTACCGCGCCGTCCATGACGGGCGTCACTGTCCCTGCTACTGGTGCTGCTGCGGCCTCGTCGATGGTTGTTGCTGCCTCGTCTGCTTCTGCGTCTGCAACCGCTATTGCGTCCGGAGTGGCGAGCAGTGGCTCAGCTGCCGCGAGCCCATCAACTAGTGCAGGTGCTGCTGCTGCTGTCGCCGGTGCTCCTGCTAGTGGGATAATCGGGGGTGTGGTTATGGCGGCAGTTGTTGCGCTCGGACTGTAGATATCTCTTTCTACATTCTACATCCTATCTTTTGGAGAATAGATATAGTAACGTCGGTCCAAGAGGGGAAGATCATCTTGTATAGATATATAGCTACGGATGCACGGTATGGCTGCGGGGTTAGGCATTGATTGATATAAGGTACATACCTATGATAGGCTGGGAATAATCGCGGGTTCGATGCGACATGTACTCTTTGATTTCTGCTGAGCAGTAAGCTTATTTCTTAGTGATAGTCACTTTCATCGTTTGAGATATCCCTATTTCTGTTACAATTTAGCTATACTATATTTCAACTATTTCTTTCGAAACTCACTCCACAAATAACGCCATCGGCCCCTAAACAATACCACAACTCATCTCCATCGGAGTTAATTACCCCATAAGATAAGAACTAAGCAGCAGTAGTCTGCAGGATCACTGCGGCTAAGCAACTCACTACTGCCTATACAGACTAGATAAAATTTAACGTACCAACCATCTATCTAGTATCTATCCAGTAGCTACAGATTACGAGAGCACCGACGCCATACATAGGTAAAGTCGGTGAGTGAGAACCTCCGGCCCCCAAATTCACAGCCCATTCATTCGTCAACCCTTCCTTCCCCTTCCCCTCCCCCCTTAATAGCACCAATACAAAAGATAATAGGTATCTGTCTGACCAGCCCTGCAATCCGCCCCCACTTTTTTTTACCTACAAGGCTCTGAAGAAAAAAGGAAAATACTGGAAGAAGGCCTGAACGTAGTCGATAACCAGTCATCTTGTAGGATTTTTATGGATTCTGCAATATCAGGGAGGTAGTATTATCAGCTGTCTGCCTGCCATTAGTAGTGGGCTTTTACTTATGTTTAGTTGGATTCGCAATGCAGCGCGCGCCCGTTCGTCTTCCTTTTTTTTCCCTTTCTCTCTCTCTCGGGCAGAAGTGTCCTAGGGACACGAGTAATTTCGTGGTTTTTTATCTTCTTATCTTTTTCTCTTTTTCTCTTCTGGGAATTAATTGATGAGTATCTGGATTCTAATTTCTTTTGATTTTTTTAAGTATAAAACGTGGTGCTCATCCCACCACCCTCTTTTGTCTCACAATATGATTGCCAAAGGGATCCGTGCGACTGCGATCCTCCTCTTCCTCCTCCTCGCAACATGCACCCCGACAAGCAGCGCAACAGCGACATGCTACTACCCTGACGGTACCATCGCGAGCAACAACGTTCCTTGTTCATCGGACACATATTCTGCATGTTGTGGAAAGTCCGACGTCTGTCTATCGAATAACCTCTGCATGGACACGGGGGAACAACCGTATGTTCTGTCCCGGGGGGCGTGTACGGATCCGAACTGGGAGTCGGATAATTGTCCGTCTGTTTGTCGTACGTACATACATGATACTTCGATGCGTTTGAGTAATTGTATTGGTGAATGGTGATGGGGGAATAATGCTAACCTTCTGTTCTTTTGTACTGGGTAGAAAGTATCAACAAAGACGGCGGTTGCTCGATAATAAATCTTCTGTATGAGAATGGCGTCTCGACATATTGCTGCGGTACTCCGATAAGCAACGGCAGTGAGGTGATTTGTCCGTATGGGAACTCGTTTGAGGTTGCTACGGGGAAGATGCTGTATGGGTATGCGGCGCTTGCGAACTCTACAGCGGATGCGTCGTCGGGGAATAGTACGTGTACTTCGTCGAATTCGTCGGCCTCGGTGGCATCTTCTTCAGCCTCCTCGTCTTCCTCTTCCTCTTCTGCAGGGCGGGATACAGCCATTGGTGTTGGAGTTGGTGTCCCTCTGGGCGTCATTGCGGGTGCTTCGCTTGTGTGGGCGTTTTGGGAGAGGAAGGAGAGGAAACGGATGCAGAGATCCGGTGGTAGTGTTGGTGGCAACCTGGCAATGGAGCAGGGGTACTCTGCACCGATGGTGAAGACACAGCGACCGCCGGTTGAGTTGGAGGTAAATGGTGCGAGGCACGAGCTGATATCATGATGCTGTGAGTCGATTGATAGTTCGATGCCCTGGTTTCATGAATGTACGAGATACACAATTGATATTTGACAAGCTGAATAATAGCATCAGCAAGTGCTATATAATAATTCATTTTAAGAAAGCATTGTGTTGAGTGTCCGAAGGGTTGACATCAGCGCTCTGAACGTTCAATTCATTGAACGAAATGCCACTCGTGCCTTGACTTAAGAAAGCAAGCGCATCTTGATCCAGGTCGCTTTCCAGAGATATGTAATCCTGAAGTTGCATGTTCATCTTGGCAAGGCCAGGGAACCCCAGAAGTGACCCTGTGACCGGTCCGTCGAGGAAAAAGCCTGGATCGTATATCTCACAAGGGTCCTCCGAGAGCGATAAGGTCTGATCAATTGCCATGAGCGGAAAAGACTCTGAGTCAGGAGCAGGAGACGGATCCGCAATCTGTCCAACGCTGAGCCCTGGACCCATTAGAGGGTCATTTGCGGAAGACGAGTTACTCGATGGTGTCTGCGCGTTCTGACTGGAAAGCAGCGCTGTTTGGGGAATGGAGGATGATCCAAGCTGTTGGAACGCTTGCTTCGCACACTTCATTCTCTTCTTCACCGGCAGTAAAGCTGCTCCAAGCCGAGATATTACGTCTCCTTTACAGGCTTGGTGCAGCTGATCAGCAAGGTGGGCGAGCTGATTCTGTCGCAAGCCAATCATATTGCGCTCCTCGATCGAGCCATGCTCATGTTTCGCATATATGTACGAAAAGCCCCTGCAGCAAGTGTCCAAAGCATACAGCATTATACTTGATTCATCAACGCTTCGAAACTCTTGCGCAGGCATCAGATTTGACCCTTTGGAAGGCCTTTGTCGAATAATGGTAAGAAGCGCGGAAGCCGACTGGCAAAATGGATCGATGACAGACGGCGAGATCGCCGGCCGCTTTTGATCATTCTTGTCTCCAGAGAAGAGCATATGAATAGCAATACTATGATATGCACTTAGAAGAAAAGACCGTGACGATGCGACGGTGACGTCGTTCTTCACCAGCTCGATGGCATTGAGAAGGATCCTATGTATCCTCGACGCCAGAACAGATCGATCAAAGCAAGGCTGGAAAAGCTGATGTAACTCGTGTAGATGCTGTTTCTGCCATGGCACAGATTGCTTATCTTTGTTCTCTGTGGGTGCATTGAGATACAGGGTGTAGATATGGGCCACTGTACTGGTGATGTGACTGAGTGGCCACAAGCACTGGATAGCCTGGATTTGTGCCTGTAGCGTGGAGATGTTTCCCGATGCGCGATCTAGGCGGAGAATAGCTGAAGCTGCCTCATCCAGGCATGGGAAGTCGGGCGTCGTTTCCGGAGTGAGCAACGAGAATGGCTGATTGCTTTGCATGAACCCCCATGTTGTGGTGGCCAGGCAGATCCAGTAAACATTCTTTGCCAATTCTTGCTCGACGGCACCTACATCCACACCGTTGAGCTTTCTGCTACACTTTCTGTGATCACCACCCTGCCAAAAGGTGTACAAAGTGGCAATTATGCGACAGGCGTAGCCTATGAAGCAGGTGGCACGTCGGGCATGACCGAGGCACAACTCCCTCCATCCCACCAGAAACAGTGCCTGGGCTGTAGAAAGAACGGAGGGGTGTCCAAGCACCACTGTGCGCTGCTTCAGCTGCAATATAGCAAAGCTGTATAGTGTCTGGGAATCAACCGGGGCACATGTATGCAGCCCGCTCACGATAGACTGTATATCACATGCATCAACCAATATGACTGCTAAAAGGGCTTTATCTACTGTATCATCCTGGATCGCTGTTGCTAGAAGTGTTTTAGACACCAGAGGTGACAATGGATGGGCCGAAAACCACACATCAACCAATTGAAGAATCAGATGCTTCCCCAGCACCATCAACGGATCGGCAGCAGACTCAAGGGGGTCAAACATCGTACGTGTGGTGTCCGTTGCCAGGGTTGATATATAGAAGTTTTGATTCGGAGCCTCCAACTGCTGAACTCCTAGGTGACTAAAGCGGAGCGGCAGGATGCCCACCATCTCCGACGCCATAAAGGACAGCAACCCATCATAGCTCCAAGGAAGCTGTATGGAATGGATTGGGGTTTTCCGAGGAGACTTGTCCAACTCCCGTTGATAGGTGACGATTGCAGTTTGGAAGATATTGGAGCCCGAGTCAGTCTTCGTGATAAAGTAGGCATTGAATCTCCGCTCCAGTTCATCGCCAACATGAATACTAAGATCGGAGCTTGTTGCAGATCCCCCGTGTGCATGTGTTTGTGAGTCAGACGTCGAGGAATTCTCCGCGGGTGTCCCCGACAGCAACGACAAGTTATCGCTACCATTTTTATCATGTGGTTGCGACGCCAACGGAGGTTGTGATGTTGTTGTTCCTCTCTGCGCGGGCCGTCCCTTTCGAGCTTCCGGACTGTATTCGCAGCTGAGGTTGCGCTTCCGACAGGCACTGCAAATAGATTCACCGGAACATCGAATCTTCCGGGTACGACAGAAGACACAGCTGCGTCGCAGACCCATGATGAGCTATGGATGTACTGGGTGGGAAATAAATTCAACATGGCGGGTGGATGTCAGCCAATGACGTACAGCCTCGTCATGTGAATCAACCCGAACCCACTGCCTAAATTGGCACTGGTCCTACTGTTATTCCCCAATAGAAGCATGTATCTATGAGTTTCAGCATAACTCACTTACACTACATCATACTGCAGCAGGCAAACAATTATTCCCCCTGTCCCTTGAGATCGGATCTGCTTCCCGTACTGAATTATATTAGCCGACATGCAATATGACCGCTCAGCACGATCTGCAGAACCCGATCTAGAAGTCTCCTTGCATGTAGAATTGCCCGAATAAGCCACTGAACCACACTAGCATATTATAATATGCAGCGATCTGAATGATCAACACCAGACTTCATTACGGTGAGGGTTGATGGCAATATACTAGTTGCCTTGTTCTATGATCCGTTGCTATATAAATGGGATCATACTTCCAGCTTCTGATCATTGTTCTCTACACTCTACACTCAGATTACCTTCCACTCCAACACATAACCACCAAAAGCCAACCAATCAATACCTCTGACCACCATGAAGTTCTCTGTTCTTTTCACAGCCCTCTTTGCAGCCCTCGTCACAGCTCAACACGCGGAAGGCGATGGCAAAGTGTCTGCACATGGAAAGCGCCAGATAGTAAGTAACTAAGCTGTATACATCATTGCCTTCATTCACAAAGAATGAATACTAACTTCATAACTAAAATAGCATCCTGAAGCGTGCCCCACCACTGACGCTCGCGATTGCTGTGCCTCTTGCTGGAGTGCTTCTCAGTACCATCATATTGACATCCGGGAGTGCTGCGGCAAGTGTGGCTGCTAAGGGATCACTCGAGACGATTTGCTTGGGGGACTGGCAACCAATCATTTCATAAAATACGCTATCCTGTCCTCTGAGATTTAGCAGTGATCTATCCAACCACCTACCTGTTTCATCATGTCTTGGCTTAGGTTTTCCCTACTGGTGAAGGTTTCCCTATGCTGTTATGCGAATGCAAAGGCTTGATCAATATTGAATCCATGGGCTTTTTCTTTTGGTATTTAAACTTGTAGTCGTCAATTTGTGCCTGATAATAATGTGTCTCCTGAGAAATGAAGTGGCGTCTACTGTTTGGTAGATATCGTCTATGCCAGTCTGTAATCACTCACCTTATCTTTTCTAAGACGAAGTGGCCATGGAGGATACTAGTGGTTTATTTGGATGTACAGATAATAGAAGCCCTGCACCCAACGTACCATCTACTAGTCTACTGCGTTCTCAGATCCAAGTTTCCTAAAGTTGCCTACATAGCGGTGTACTGTTTTCACTGCATAAATCGAACTTTCCTCTCTGCTGTAAGTCCGGCCCAGCACTGCTTTTCTGTTCACCGAGCAGCCCAGTATATTAAGTACTACTACGTGCAGTACAATAAGGTTCGGTGTATAATATAGTCAGAGACAAGCCTAGTAGTGAAGTGGCAGCCTACGAACGGCTTAGCTTGTAGCCGCGCATCTGATATGCAAAGCTAGCTGATCAAGATACTTTCAACGAGGCAATGAGAGAATAGAGATCACCCAATAACAAAATTTGTTGGGTACAGTATGAAACTCTGAAATTAGCCATTAATAGTCATAATAAACATTATTGAGAGTCACTGCATTATTCAATCGTTCGTAAACTGGACTCCAGTAATAGGCCTCAGCGTATTCCGAAATCCCAAAGGTATCATTACTCGTAACGTCAAACAAAGCATTATCAAAAACCCCTGCTCTGGACCCACAGACAGTGTCCACTTTATTCCCTACGGTCCGGATCAATACCTTGGTCCCGGAGCTTCTTCTTGTCCACCCCCTTCATCGTCACGTCTACAAAGTTCTTGGGGATCGGTTGGGACTCCCTAACTTGATCAGTGGATATTCTACATCAGAGAAGTCCTGATTACTTACCGAAGGAATTTGATCCTCAAGTTCCTCGCACGATCCTTTATCTGCACCTGATTCCGATTTTCGAATCGGGCTTCTCCCTCCTTTTCAGGCTGTATCGTGTTCTCGTCTTCGATCTTCGTCCACGAAACCCCGTGCTCTTCGATCAAACGTATCAACCGGCGATCTTCGGCATCCGTCCAGCCTCTGGTTCTCCGCTTAGGTGCCGGTGGTGGCATCGCCTGGCGGTTCTCTGCCGGCGGCGAAGGGACCTGCGTACGAACCGGGGAACCAGCAGCTTCTCGCGACTCGGACCGACGTCGACTTTGGGCCTCACCCTCAGCTCCTTCGTGGCCGCTGTCTACCCTTGCGCGCTTGCTTTGTCGCGCCTGCACAGACTTTTCGGCACGCCGGCGTTCCGTATCCACCTCACGGTCATCGGTATCATATTCGTCTTCGCTCTCAGAGACAGTCTCGGTTTCACGTCTGCGTTTTGGAGGCCGGCCACGAGGCCTCCGTTCCACACTCCTCGGTCCCGACGTCTGGCTGACCGGAGAAACGCGCACTGCGTTTTCCTGGCGGTCGATAAACGCAGGTCGTGAGCTATTAGAAGCTTCTGGGGTGGCCCGCGACCGAGAATTCGCCATGTTCCAGACATCCCTGCTTGAGGGCAGCGAAAGGTTGTTTTCCATTCTAGGAGGCGCCAATGTAGACGCAGGCTCCCTGCGGGGTCTTGGGACGGACCGATTCATCGGAGGACTATGGGACCTCTCCGGATGGTTCTCAGTATGCTGACTTATATCAAGTGGTTCGTCGCATACGAAAAGTTCTGTGTCTTCGGCCGTTGTGTGTTCATCGTTCAGCCGGGTCTCTTCATGTGTCTCATCGCCATCATTCAGCTGCGTATCCTCATAAGCCTCAGTGTCATCGTTAACCTGCGTTTCATCATTTACGAGCGTGCGAGAAGCGTCAAAGGTAGTCTGGACCTCACTGGGCGGTGCTGGGTCCGTTGACCTCTGGCGAGGTGGGATTGCAGACACAGTCTGTCGCCTGTCGGCTGCAGACTGATCTGCCACTTCAGAAGCATTGGGTCTGATTGAGTCAGATTGCCGGCGAGAGGTTGACGCATCAATTGAATGACGAAGCTCTTGTCTTCGTTGACCCATCCGGGCGATAGCGTCTCGGTTATTGAAAGGGCTTTCCTCGGTTAGCCCATGGACAAAAGGTAGATGCTGAGGATACTCACTATTTGCGAAACTTCTTCTGAGACCTGGTCTCAGAGGGCTCCTCTGTTGCAGCAGGAGGCAAAACATCGCGGGCGACTGAAGCGACTCTGGGTGCGCTTCTCTCTGGCTCAATGATCTCTGGGACTGTGTGAAACGGGTTCTGGGCAGACATAGGTGTTGCAACTTTGTGTGCATTTGCAGAAGCAGTCGTAGGAGGCCTTGCTTGCGACGAAGGCTGCGAGACCTGTGGCGTACCTGAAGTAGTAGCAGACCTCCGTGCTGTATTCTCAGTCGTGGATAGACGATTGGAAAAGCGCCCACTGGGAGTGGACAATGCCGGAGTGCCGCTGATACTTTGACGTGACTTTGCAATGGTGTAAAAGCTCTCATGCATGTCCATGGAACTTATCTGGCCTTTCAAGTCATTGTTCACCTCGTCACACCTCTTGCGAATCCATCGGGCGGCCTGCATGACGAACTTCTGCCAGCGGTAGTCACCCTTGAGTGCTCCGATAGTACCGTCGACTTCCAGAACGACACGCATATCGTCATAACGGCTTTCAACGTCACTCCGATATCTCGATGGAAGTTCCCCTCTGGCATCAGTGAACCTCTCCAGATTGAAGCCGCGGAACCGACGCTCCGCATCGCTGGGTGCGTCCTTGGGCGCGTCCAAGAAGAAGCCAGTTGTCAGTATCTCAACTGGGTCAAAGTCATCATCATTCTGATGTGCTTCAAGCTGCATTATCAAGTACTGTGTGCGAATCTCTAGAGCCAGCTGCCAAGTCTCCTTCTCCAGATAGCTTTCATCGACAGACTTCTGGGCACCCCTTTCCACCAGATTAGCCATGAAAGGCGACGGAAACTCATCATGGATGGTGGAAATTGCCTGCTCTGGAGAGGACTCAGTACCAGGTGTAGCCAGAAGCATTCGCAACGCAAAACGAGCACAATTGGCTTTGTAGAGCACAGGCTTCGAGTAGTCTTCCAGCCCACTGACTTCCACAATGTACTCCACATCAAGATAAGTGAGAGGGCTCTTTTGACCAAAGTACTTCGCTTCATGGTTTAAGTTAGTCACAGACCGCTGCAGCCGTCTGCTCTGAGTACCAGCAGGATCCCTCAGCTGCTTCGCCCTGCTCATGATGCTGACAGGATCTGCCGACCCAGGAACGAGGAAATCAAGCACATTGGCAGCTGCACGCTCCAAGTCCGGAAGTGCCTCGACCATGATATCCACATCCAGATCATGGTCCGGTTCTGAGGGAAGAATAGTAGTACCGGAGATGTTGTGTTCATCTTCCGGAGTCTCAGGGATGACTTGGTTCCCATACTGCGGGCCAGTCTTCTGAGCCGACCTTTGCGGAGATTCTTCAACCACAACATCTAAGCCTGCACCAAGAACAATGAGAGGCGCCTCAAAGAACCACTAACAGTACTAAGAAAGAGACTCACCCTTCCCGCTCACTGGTCCCTTACTTTGGGTGCCCCACCTTCTCCGACCAGCACCTGCCGACGGCTCACCATCATCATCATCACCACCACTACCACGAGGAGCCTGTTGAGTCCGAAGTTCCTCTAACTCTCGACTCTGACTTCTGGTGACACGTCTTCGCATAGGGCTCCCCGTCCAGACCCCTTGACCTTTAGACAAACCAGCCGAGGATTGTGCGACCTCTCGTGACTGAACCAGCCGCGCCATTCTGCCACCACAACAAACGCGTCCGAGAAGAATGGAAGGCGGTCAGCCGTCCGAGCACGTGAAAACGCGGAGCTTTATACTCCAGACGGTCTGCTATCGATGCTAGAAGCCTCAAATTGATGCAAATTGATGATTATGACTGTTGTTTTGATGCCGCAGTGATGTTGTCGATGGCTGGGACGGCGTAGAGTAAAGAAAAGGAGACTCGTGATGTGTTGGGGTACTAGCGGTCAAACCCTTGGGGTTAGTCGCTTACTAAGCACTTAGTAAAACGGTCACTAGGCCCAGAAAAGAAGGCGATATTAAGAAACTCTCAAACCCTACGTAAACCCTAACAGAAACCCTAGAAACCCTATGGTTTACCATGTATTATCCGACCAGGAATTAGAGGACCATTTCGACTACCACCACTATTAATGGATCCTTACTATCGAAAAATGATTTTTTAAAGGACATGAACCTGTGGATATCAGACCTCAGTCCATGTTACTGATATGTACGCACGTACGTCCGCTTTCAACTACCATTAGGGTTTAAGAATAGAAAATCATTACTACATATGTCACAGCTTAGCCCGCAAACTAAGCCACTGGACGGAATCTATAACTGATGTTCATTCTGCAAATCTGCTCGACCGGTTATTGAATATGTATCTTCAAAACATGTGCTAATGCGCTCATTGAACTCAAGGGTCTATTATAAACTCCGAGGCCTATCTGGTAAAATAACAGGGATGAAGCTGTGTTACAGAGGATAGATAGTATGGTCTTTGATGGGCAGTCGTGTTGTATGATTTTGCCCACACTCTGGGTGTATCCTTTCTCTGTTTGACGCATAGTGTCAATATTGGCCTGGTAGACTGGGCAAGTATATGCTTGGATTGAGTGTAACTGATTACATGGATTGTCGGGGTTGATTAGTACGCTGACTGTGCAGTACATGCTAGTTATCTTACGGAGGTTAGTCCGAGGAACGAAAGTACAAAACCACCAGGACAGTCGCATCGATACACTACAGAGTACGCATAACTGTGAATATTAAATCTAATTATACTGCATCAAGAATTTTATTAAAACATCGCTAAGGCGCGAATATTACAAGCACCATATCACATAATCTATACTGAAGAGAACCACCCGATATGTGAGACACAAGCGGGAGCCAATGAAGGTCTAATATATGGCTTCAAACATGTAGATGACACCAAAGACCAAGAATGCCGTGGCACCGCCCAGCGTTACTGTGACACGTTAGCAACAGCTGTGAAACTAGAAAGGAGGAGTACATACCAACGCGCATGCTGACCTTGCCAGCAATAGCACTGCCGCCAATAACGGCGGCCGCAGTGCAAAGTCCGTGTCCGGAGATAGCACCGATGGTCACCCACCAGTAATCTTGACCGGCAGCCATAGCAATGGTTGCAATTTGACTGCGGTCACCCCACTCGCCCAGGAAGGTCATAACGAAAGTCTGAACCCAGGCGGGACTGAGAAGAAGCGAGAAAAGATTGTTCATTCCGACAAGAACATCATTCCAGCGGTTACCAGAGGGAGAGGAAGCACGAGAGGACGACGATGAAACACTCTCGGGAGGTGAGGGAAGACGGTTACCAGAGGAGCGAGACTTGCGACGACCGACGCGGCCAGCTTCCAACGAGTGAGGAGTCACGGACGAACGGCGACGGCTCATACGCAGCTGCTCTTGCTCCTTTTCTTCCAGTTCCATTTCGACCTCCTTCATCTCCTCTCCAACACCCTCGTCGGGCGACATTTCGCGACCTTCCTTGAGCATCTTCAAACCGAACACGACGAACAGAACGGCCGCCAACAATTTCGTCAGGGACTTGGGGATCAGAGTAGGTACTGCGTGTCCTAGGACAGCTGAGAGAACAGTCATGAAGATGAGGGCGCTGAAAGCGGCGGAGAAAACAAGCAAACGCGGATGACGCATAGCCATGAGCGCGGCAACCAGGAAAGTCTTGTCACCAATTTCAGATACGATAATCATGGTGAAGGAGAACAACAACGAATGGAACGCAGTTCCCTCCTCCAGCGGCTCGCCAGGCTTGTTGCCCGAGGAGCCATGCTTATCGAGACCGAGAGGGCTATCTTTGACTGTGGCCGGGGACTTGGGAGGGGGGATGTCGTGGGGCTTTTCTGGCAAATCTGCGGGTTTCTGAAATACATCAGCAAGCGTTACCGAATTTCATGATAAAGGTCTAAAATACCTCCAATTTTCCGAGGGTCGAGTCGGTGCTCGATCCCTTGGTGTCCTTGACTTCGGCATCCTGACCCGCCACTGGCAGCTTTTGCTGCTCACTGTGCGGCAACGGAGGAGCCTCCTTGGGACTACCCGGCGTCTTTTCATTGTTGTATGGCTCCCTCAACTTCTCAGACACCCCACCTTCTGTCCCACGAGTACCCTCCTTGGGGCCCGTCCGATGAGGATCATCCATCACGCCGTCGTTGGAGTAAGGAATTGGGTTGCCATCAGGGCCCATTTGTTCCGCTTTAGGATCGGTCTTTGCCTTTTCCTCCGACAAGGTGGTAGAGCCCGTCTTCTTGCGATCCCGCTCTGCACTTGTTTCCACCCAGGGACCCGCATGTGGCCGACCATCCTTGCCGTCGATCGGGGCGTCCAGCGTCCCTTTGGCGGGCTTGGGTGCGGCGGCGGCATCTATTTCGACGGCATTTGGAGTCGAAGCTTCCCGCTCTGCGAGAAGAGCGTCCTTTGCACCGTTGTTGGCCGAGCTCGGATCCGTGAGCGCGACCGAAAGCGCAGGAAGGAGGAAGAGAAGAAGCGACGAAGAGTGAATCTTCATGGTGTAGGGCTGTTATCGTCACAGTTGGATCAATTGCAAAAAGGTTAAAATGTAGTGTAGATGATACAAGCAGTAGTCCACATGAACGGATAAGAAAAGGCCGCAAATGAAGGATTGACGAGAAAGTTTGGTTCCAGGTACGTCGATCGGTGTAAATCAAGCCACGACAGCGATCCGAGCGGACTCAAGACACGCGATCGGGAACAATGGCGAGACGAGAAACGAAGCGCGGAGTCAACGAAGTGGACTGGTCATATGAAGCAAACAAGTAGAATACATGCAAGAAGGAAAAGGAGCGAAGCCGATAAGCGGTCGTCGAGGGTGGCAGGAAGCAGGAATCTGGGAGGTTTCTTTTCCGGCCGCAAAGGGGCAATGCCGCCTCCACATCACGTGGTACCCGCTTGCGGTGGTCTGGTTCTTTCCTTTCCCCATTATTACTCGTTGTCATTCTCTCCGCTCTCCTTGGCCAGCCATCGTCTGGCTTGCAACTGGCTGCAATCGATGCAACAATTTCTTGTTTCAGGTGTCTCATGATGTACAATTTGGGGTTGTTTCTGGGGTCTAGCTGAGCCTGCTTGCACTGTATTTAGTCTTACAGCTGAATGCTGACCCCTCAACCCAATCGGGCGTGGTTGAATTTAGATGACTGGCGGGCCGCCGACTAACTAACTAGTAGTACTTAACTGTTAACTATTAATATCCCCCCTCTTTGATAGTCGTGCCTGGCTGCCTCTCCATCTACACCTCTCTCCGGGCGCTGCACACTTATTAGTACCACCCACAAAACACTTGGCCTGGGATCTATCTACGTACTCAGCTTCCCAGTGCAATCAAGTGCGTACTTGATGAAATGAGGATCTTAATCTTATTATCCTACCGAATGTGAATCATGGCAGATGTTCTTATCGCTGCTGTGCAACACCAATAGGCCATTCACTAGACAATGCATTCAGTGTTATCAGCCTTCTCTCACTACAAACTCATCGTATATGAAATTATCACTATGGCACGTCCCTGTCACCGCTCGTGACGTCAGTCTCATCTTTGTTGACTCTCCTGGGTATCGGCTTCGAAGATGTCGGACTCAACAACAATCAACAACACGCTCGCCAGCCCAATCGGGTCCCTTGCCTCCAGTCCCGGCAGCACCCTTGCTTCCCAATCCGACTCTCCTCGAGCGCGGCTGAGCGCCAGCAGTGGCTTTGGCTTCGCCTCCGCCTCCGCCTGGTCTGAGATCTATCAGAATGAGCCTGAGAAAGCTCCGGCCACGCAGTTGCTGAGTATTAGCGATAATCCCGATCATCTCGAAATTGATACCTCCAGCCCTGAGGAGCACAGCCACTTCAGTGACGACAGCACCGACAGCATGGAAGACTACGATATCGTCAGTGGAGCGAGCTCCCCAAGCTCCCTGTCCTTCCAAATCGTTGAGCCAGAACGCGAAAAGCTCTACCCGATCGCCATCACCGTTTTCGTGGGAAGTCCACGTGCTCAGAAAGATCGACCCGTCCATCTCAGCTGCATTGTACTCACATCCGATTGGCGCCAGGACTTTTTCCCGAACTCGTGCAAAAACAAAGCCGACAAGGCAGTGAAATGCAAAGACATCATAAAGTACAACGAGCAGTGCCTTCCTCAGATTGCCAAATTTGCCTGTGCAATTTGCTCTGAGCCGACTCCCGCCCGCAAATTCGTGCACCAGCCCATTATGTTCACACGGACTAGCAAATCCGGACTGGAGGATGGAGCTCGACGCCGGCTGATCATGCGATTGGGACAGCTTGTTCATAGTCGGTGGAGGTTCCCTGATATGAATGCCACGCTTGGAGGTGCAGCGGAAGCTCAGGTCTTTGAGGTTGCCATTCCGGTGTGCAAGAGGTCAGGCTGCGGCATAGCAGGTCGGACGTCTGCCCACCAACTCATCCGGGCCATTGTTTCGTCCAACGCGGACTTGGATCCCTCAGCATTGGACCTCGACATAGTTATTCCATTGGCTGATTTAGGAGCCGGTATAGGAGATTGGACACCCGACAGAGCAGAAATTTTGGTGACGAAGCTCGGACCGGACTGTGTGCCTCTGGAGGTACGCAGCCATGTCGAAGCATGATAGCTGGTCAGGCTGGGAGTTTGGTTATGATCTACGACTTCAACGCGGTAGAGAGACGGCGTATGAGCAAGATGGAGTTACCACAGAGAAACATCATATCATGAAATTATGACTTGGGGGAATATTGGTGGATTTACGACTGACGAACGGCCTGAAATGAAAGACGCGACAGATAGAAGTCGATCTAGAACAGACCAAAAAACGGAGTTTCATGCCCATCAATTTCGCAGTAGACAGTACCCACCGTAGCCTGCCAAGTAGGAATACGTACCCCCAATCTAGACTTCAGCATCCAAGGTATCAAATATGGCCTGACTCGGCAACCCACCCACACGTCCACGTAGACTACTTAACATCAGATAAGCCCGATCTCCAGGCAACCAACCACCAACCAGACCGTTACCCACATCCTTCATATTAAGCATACACAATACTATTGGGAATCCAAACATCAGACATCGAGCCTCACCGATCGTACGAAATCTACGGTAAAACCCACTACACCGCGGCAAATCATCCCTTAATCTACCACCCGCAGTGTGAGTGGATCCCCACCTCAAACAAGCTCAAGTATTAGACTAGACTAACCACCGTGAGACGAAACACCAGAACACTTCTAGACCGGGAGATGAGCTCCACCCCCTGTTTGAGATGAAGTGATGGACGTATAATGCGGTTGTTATATAGGTTGATGTGCGTGAATATATAAGGACGGCATCGACGGTCACTACTTACCAACAAAACCAGCCAAGAAACTTCAAAACTATCCAAGCAACTTGAAAGAAGAAAAAGCATAGAATAAAAAACATGCAGACCAAATCCCTCCTCACTGTCCTCCTCAGCGCCGCTTTGGCTGCTGCTACCGTTGACCCCGCCACCTCTAACACTAAGGGCAAATGTCCGGGTACTTATAACTGCTCTGGTGTGTACTTTCTTCCTTCCTTCCTTCCTCTTCCATAATATAGCAAAATCCCCACTACTACAAGCATAAGAGAAGATAAATACTAATGGGTGATAATAAATCTATAGCCGCCAAAACCTCCACCGCCATCCAGGCAGCTGAGTGCTCCCACAACACTCGTACTTCCGGTATGTCCCTTTCCCCGGGGCATGTCCCAATCGCTCAAAGATGAAATGATGTATTGATAAATGCAATGTAGAAACCCAAACATTCGCCGTCTTCGTCACCGACCACGAGTACGACTCCTCCTACGGCGCTCCCTATGGTACCTGCAGCGCGTACACTTGCACCGCGCCGACGGATAGCGAGATGACGGATGATGATGAAGATTGCTGGACTTTCTTCTGGAAGTAAGCCTTCCTACAATTTCCTTTTACCATCGTGTTGGTATGTTTTATGATGGGGTGAATGCTAACTGGCTTTGTGTAGCGACAACGGCGAGTCCTCCGGTGTTGGAACCGGATGCATTCGCAGCCCTGAGGATGGAACTTGTGGATGTGAGGACTCTGATGGAACTTTTGTCTATGGGGGAACGGATTGCTCTTAGTTTCCCATTTTGGGAGTATCTTATCGAGACGGTGTTGAGTAGAGGGGCTGCTACTGGGTAGTATGTATATTGATTTGCAGATTCTAAATCATTGCATTATTCGAATACTGGTATATCCCGGAAGTAAATGAACTGCATAATAGCATGAAAGGTACAGTACATGATCATAGCATCCGTATTCATAATATAAAACATACCAAAAACACCTGTTCTACTCCAACTAACCAAGTATTTCCGAAATATCATCACGTCCTTCCCGCCCCCGTCCCATCCAACTCCGATGGCCCTCTAACCATCGCCTCATACATCATCTGTCCCTGTCCCTGTCCCTGACCATGCGGCCCTTGATACACCCCACCTCCCATTCCTCCAACCTGCTGCTGCATCTGCATATGCTGCGGCGACTGCTGTCCGTCCCAACCCCACATCCCCTGCCCCAACGGCGGCGACAACCCCGATCCAACAGTCGCACCACTAAACTCACTCTGCGGCACCAATGCACTCCCGCCATCCATCTCACTCTTCCTCTGCCCTCCACCACCACCACCACCACCGGCAGCAGAATTACCACCCCCCTTCCCAGTACTCTGTCCCGGACTCAACAGCGCCGCCCATCTCGCAGTCCGCTCATGTCTTCCATCCTGACTGGACATCCACTGCCGATAAACCCGATTTCTCCCGAGCAGGAAGAACAACGCGCCGAGAATGGCGATGAATGCCACGGAGCCGACGACGATGCCGACGATGGCGCCGGTGCTGAGCGCCGGTGAGCTTGTGGAGGGGGTGTTGGACGGGGATGAGGATGAGGTTGAGGTGGAGGTTGGGGCGATGGTGCCTTCGGCCGGGATGGATTGGCCCGGGACAAGCATGTAGGGGTAGGTTTTTGCGCGGTTATATTGCGATTCGAAGGTCATGGTGGAGTTCTGAAGGGTTAGTTGGGGCAAGAAAAGGGAAGGGGAAGGGGAGGAAGTACTGGGTTTATGACGCCGACCATGCCGTTGCCGATGCAGGAGTCTATGGCGGTGCAGTAGAAGAATGTGGGCTGGTGGTTGTTAGTGATGTTTTGGATGGACTGAGGATAGGGTAGGGTGGGTGGATGGACGGGATGTACCTCGGTGTCGTTGACGACTAGGGACCAGGTTGGGGGCTACGTTATGGGATTAGTATGACGGCGAGACTGATGTGAAGGGTATGGGAGTAGACATACCGGTCCAACCAACTGTCCATCCTCCTCATTGAAACTATTGAATATTCCCGAATAGAAGATCTCCCCGCTGGCGGGCACACACGGCGCAAGATAGTCTGCTTTCACGACGGAGTGATTTCTCGGATAGAACTCGAAGACGATAACATCGCCGACCGCAGCGGAGACATTATGAGGCGAGTATTGATGAGGATCTTCTTTTGAGCCGACCTGAACAGTATGGGTTGCTATCGCGGTGGTTGTGGTGGATGTTGCTCTGGTGGTGGAAGTGGTTGAGATGCCGGTCGTGCTGCTGTGAGATTGGGCTGATGCAGTAGTAGCGAGCAGCATCGCCACGAGAGCGAGCAGATGGGCTGCCATTAGGATGGAAAGCATTTCATCAGGTATGTGCCGCGATATACTCAAGATTCAAGACGGGGAAGTCGTTCCGAAGGACAGGCAAAAAAGGTCGACGGGCGGCCACAAAGAAAGGGAAAAAAAGACGGTTGCCCCTGGATGAGATAACAAAGAAACTACGATGAGATGGCCGGAAAAGATGATGCATAGGCAGATGCCCGAATGCGCAGAAGAGGGGCTGAGGATTATTTTTCCTCCTACGAGACGCATGGATCATGGATGGACAGCCTCTTCCCAACTCACACCTCGTGTTCCCGCATCCATCAGCCCGTAGCGCTGACTGGTTAGGGCTGGACACGATGATCTTGGCAGTAGCGGCCTGTCCTGTCACCAGGCGGGATGGACTTGTGTGTAGCTTCAATATGTTTTACATTCATTTGACAGGTCTCGGAGGTAGGAATAGGGGTCTCTGTAGTATCAGTATCTAGACTGACGTGCTGTTTGACACTTGTATCAGTGTGCGTCGGTATGTGGTCAACGGCGGATTCCCAGTGTCTTTTACTCGTAGAATCACATGCAACAATTGGCAGCCATCCTCGTCGCAGCTGTCCTCCGCTGTCGGAACCTTAACCGTTGCGACTCTTCCACCAGAATTGGTCGTTATATTCAGATCGGCTACGTTGCCTTCCGTGCTCGCGTTATCCGTGGACGGCTCCAGGTACTGGAACCATTCGAAGGACAGACCATCTCCATCGGGATCATATGTCTCTCCCGCATCCAAGGTGATTTTCGCCCCTACGGACGCATTGACAGTGACAGGATGCAACCCGCCCGCCCCGTTTACAACCACCACCGGGTGGTGGTTCCAGGTCTTGTTCGTCTCCGAAGCAGACAACGTCCACTGCAAGCGTGCCGCAAAGTCATTCTGGTATGCCTCTCTCCAACGCCAGATTGTCGCTTTGTTGGAGGTGAAAGTTTCGTTGTTCATGCCGATGACCTGGTCGTCCGTATCGCTGTAGTGGTTGTCCCAGTCACATGTTTCACACACTGGCGCGTACCGTCCGCCCCAACTGCCATAGTTCGGGTGTTCGGGATCGCCCAGCCCGTTCTGGATCATATACAGCAGCGTAGGGCTATCTCCCTCCATAATATATTCGAAGTCGGGATACTTGGCTCCGAGTGGACCGATCCGGATATTCTTCTTCAGCCATTCGTGCGTCACATACGACGAATCTGGGCCGCCTTTATCGAAATCATAGTTAATCTCGCCTGAGATCCCCGGCCAGGTAGCCACTCCATACTGATTAAAGGCGTGCATGGAGTTTATATAGTGGATTTCGGGCCAGTTGTTGCGGATCCAAGCCCCGGTGTCGTCTTGATCGGAAATGGTGTAGACCCATAGGTTTGAGCGGAATGATGCTGCCTCAGAGGGAGAATATATGAGGGATATGTTCAGGAGAGCCTGTGCAAGGACGTTGTCGCCGCCCCAAGACAAGACCCAAAGGGGCTGACCAGAGGTTGTGTTGGTGAGACTCTTGATGAGGAGTTCAGCGCCGGGGCTATAGGTGTTGTTGTTCTTGAGTGCCTCCATGCCATATACCTTCATCAAGTTAGTTATGGTTAATGCCTGTAGCGCAGGGCTGGACATACCGGAAGACCATGAGACACAATCCCTCTCATGGATTCTGCCGAAGGATACGGCGAATCATCAGGAGCATGTTTATTCAAGTTATCTACCACCTTCGCGTAGGCATCAATGGTCTCCAGCATCAAGTCCGGGCGTACTTGGTCCTTCAGCCATGTGGAAGTGACGGCCACGAGCCCTTCATTCTGGAACTGGTTACTGTAGACGAGATAGCGAACAAGAGACTCAGAGTCATCGGGTTCATTGGCAATATCCGACATAATAAAGATGCGCGGCTTGGTCGGATAGGAGAGAAGGGATCCGTTCGAGCTGGCTCGGCCATGAGGGAGAGCCAGAGTCAGCCCTGCGCCGAGGAGCGGTAGACACCCAAGGAACCTCATTTTGAGGATGAATGTGACTGAAGAGAGACTTGTCCAATTTTACTCACAACAACTGGAACGACAGACATACTTATACCCTTTGATGGACGCAAACGACTTGTTTGTCCCCGGTGAAAATTCGGATGATGGCCATGATGCAATGCCGCGATGACACCCGACAAGAGCCATATTGACTACTGATCGGCATGCGGGGATGCGGATGCCTGCATTGTGGGGTAATAGTCACCGAAGAACCCTCCCCAGACATCAGAAATGGAGATGCTGGACGAGAGAATCGCTGAAGAACATCCACTCCACCTCCCGCTTCGGCGTGGTTAAGCATTCCGCTTTCAGTCAGTCGTGGCTCGAACTTCCCGATCGGGAATACCTGAGGTGCTCCTCCACGAATGTACCCTGAATAGCCGGTTTGCCTGGATTTTGCGAGTCAATTATTGCACGATCTTTGCAAGACCAGGGTGAAATAGTGGGGAGTGTGAGGGGTCGCTGCCAACTTATGACCTGGATGGCATTAACTGTTTCCCTTCCGTTGTTTCCGAGGATATTTCCTGAGAGAGAAGACTCATTCGCCAGCTACGCTCAAGTTGGTGGTGGGTTCAAGGTGGACCCGTGTGATTTGCTGCACAGTTCTCATTTGTTTGCCTGCTGGCCCGCTTTGACTGAATTATTGAGCACAGGATATGCCCGGATAATAACCTACAGTTTGCTACTGTGCACCAACTTGACACCTTTAGTATTTTGGAAATCTCTGCTTTGAGTGTGTTCATATTAGAGCTATTAGAACCTTTGTACTACGATTAACTGGTACTTTTTGTGCTAAATACCAATAACAGACTGGTACTGCCGACCTGTTTAAGATCCACACTCATAGAGGCAAGCTCACAACACTCGCTTTCGAGGACAGCACATCGTTCCCCCAATCCTCCTCCTCCAGGTCTTCGTCATCCAGCGCCACCGGATTCAGCGCCAGCGACCCCCGAGGCACAAACGAGGAAACAAGTACCAGCAAGGATATCACACTGAACTGCACACTGGCCACATTCCGAATAGCCAGATGGATATCACCCCCTCCAACTGGACCTCCGGTTTCCACATACACCCGGTCAATGTAACTTCCCAGCAGCGGAGAGGTAATAGCGTACAGCACGATATAAGTGGAATACAAGAACGCCATGACAGCCCCGAGCGCAGAAACATTTTTCGACATTGACTCCATTCGTGTCAGCGTCGCCTGGATATACGCCGCCAGCGAGACATCGCCAGCCGCCCAGCCAAAAGAAACAGGGACAAAGCTGAGGGCAGCGAACAATGCATCTCGGACCCGATGCACTGGGGGTTTCCAGAATGGCAGATACCATGTGATGAGAAGCATGAGCGCATCAACTCGTAGCCAAGGCATGGGAGTGCGCACGCGGTTATTGAGAAAGATGACAAACAATGCGCCAAACAGTTCTCCCAGATTGGACCCTCCCACCATAATCTGCGACCATGCGGCGTTGCCTAGATAGCGACGCGCAAGTGCTGGCATAACTGCACTCTCGAGATAGCGATGAGCATACAAAGCAATCGAATACCCGGGCAGCAACCAGATGAATTTGCGTGTGGTGAAGATGATCCGCGCACCTACCCAGATCGACTCTAGAAAAAGCTTGATTCCTCTCAGCGCTGCTCGGATATATGTTGTCTGGTCAGAGGGTTCTGCCGCTTTGTGAGCTTTGAACACATCATCTCCAAGGAAGGACCAGGCAATAGCTGCGAGTGTAAAGCAGATGGGTGTCACGAGGAAAGAATAATTATTCCCCAGATGAGGAATCAGAGCCAGTGCAGTGCAGAATGCGCCAGCGGTACCTGATACCTCGTAGAAAATGTGAACCAGAGCGTCCAGGCGTCGTAATCTCTTTAGGTTTCCGCCAACAATGTCCCTGGGAATGATGCGGCGGATGAGCTCGACCATTCCATAACTGAAACCACTCACGCAATAAATCGGTATGATACTGTCCGTGTTGTAACGACCATAGTAGTGAAAGTCATTCTGTGGGTGGTGAGGACGGAAGGCAGCCGGGACAAAGGTGCCACCAGTACAAGCATCTATGATCAGAAGGATGGCGCTGAAGATGCCAAAGGCCAACATAGCTGCCATTAGAATCAACCGAGCTGGATAGCGACGAATCAGGGGAGCCATGAGTATCGATCCAACACACTGGCAGGCTTGATTAAGGCCGACCATGAGCCCGACGCGTTGGAAGGTCTTGGGAGGCATGTTAGCGCGAAGGGCATCATAATCGTAGCGGTTGGTGGCGAGCGTGATAATCGATCCATTGAACGCCTCCAGGCCAAACTTGTAAAGTATGATGCCTAGAATGTAGCAGGCAGCTTCGCGCCGTTCTTTGGGCGTGAAGTCATTCCAGCCGTTGCGAACGCTTTTGAACAGCCCCATTGTGTGGGATGATCTGCTGTCACAAATCTGAGAAAGAGACGAGAACTGAACAGCGTAGAGCCACCACAATATATGGAGCTAAACGTGATCTTCTGCGAAGTGAACTGCGATGTTTACATGAATCTGCACGGTCAGGGAATAAACAGTAGAGACGCTCTGGCGTGCCATGTTGATGAAGTTCGTTGGGAATTCCTACGCAGGGACCAAGTACACTACATTGTGGGCGGCCGAGTTGGAGTGAATTGATCCCAAAGATTGAACCTGGAATGAAGGTCTTCTGGTGTGAAGGAGCTATGACAAGTGAATGGAGATTGAAGCTGACAGAGGAAGAGGCCATGAGGGGAAATCTAGAACTAATGAGCCTGAGGCAGCGAGGCCAGCACATGCATACACATAGCACACGTCTATCAAGGCCTGAGGATCTGTCATATCGACTGTTCTCTGCTGTGGCAGGAAAACTCCTGTCGTCATACCTGACTGATGTACTGCAACAGACAGATGCATTGTCATTATGTACCCGGCTACTACCCACCAGGCTGCACAGCTTATGAGACTTGACTTATAGTTGTACCCCAGTCCGGGAGCCAGTCCGGGGCACTTGGAATGATTGGACCGCCATTGCGGGCAATTGTCCAGCTGAACAGCGACCGAGATCCACCTGGATGTCTTGCGCTGGACGTTGAAAAGAAAGACAAAGTGCATCCGATGACGACATTTTGGTCATCCTGTGCGCTCGGAGCGCTTTCTGAAGCCAATCTTCGTATCGCCTTTTGGGCCTCACCTCCCCTGATCGTCTCTACTATCCTGGTTGCCCGGTCTAGTTTGCAACACCAAGCTTAGGCTTACCCCACCCCACAAAGTCCGCTGCAGCATTGACCTGATTGCTGCTTGCAAGCCAGTTGTCGTTGATTCCAGAATGACATATCAGATGATGAGCTACTTACTGGCGCGCCCGATGATCCCTTGGAAGGATCGCCTCGTGAAATAGACCCCACCAAAGTAACAAAGCAACAAACGGTCAGTCAATGGGTGAAACACGCAAGAAGCCGGCGAAAGAAAGCCACAAAATGCAGCCAAAAAAGGGGGGAGTATGGGTGAAGGAATAGAACGAGAAATCTTAACTCACGGAGAATTGGAATTGGGTATTTGAGTCACCACGTCGTGCGTGCTTGCTTCTTGCATGGTGTCGACATACAGACGGACCGTCTCGTGCTTGGCAGATAGGCAGGCCACGTGCATCCCCGACCGCATGTGTTTCGCCTCCCCCAAAAGATGGGAAAAAGATGGGAATGCTCAGCCATCGCCCATTTTCACTGTTCCGGAGGGGTTGAAAGTTTCCTAGTTCAACCACTCCCAGGTAGCTTATTTCGTCACCATTTTACATTTTACGAAAAATGAAGAACTAGCTATCTCCCTTAGTGAAGCGGCCTGAGTCAAACAGCTATGCGCTGGTGGTTTGAAGACCTCCCATGTGAGCCCATGCATGTCCGGCTTGTCGATCGGGGAGTTTAAATCTGGTCAATCTCGAGCCAGCGAGGATGCCCATTGGAGACGCCAGAGGTACTTGTCTTACCGCGGGTGTGGGGTGGAGCAGTGAGGTACCCATCCGGTACCGCTGCGGTGCAATCAAAGGATTGACATCGAATTGACACCCCGTTCTTAGCTTAGCAGCAACCACAACTGACTTGGACTAACCTAAAAAAACTAAACTGGAGGGTGGTTCTTATCGGGAATCGCCTTCGAATCCCTTCCCCCCCCCCAAATTCTAAAAATCTCAAAACGCCATCGTCCACTCAGCCGCGTGATCCCCCGCCCACCACCCTCACCGACTGATTCGACGCTGTGTTTCTTTTTATCATTCATATCATTGTTTGTTTGGGATTTCTCCTTTTTTTTTATTCCTGCCTTTTTTTCCTAGCTCTTCGTGCATCCTGAGGATATATATGGCTTCCTTCCTCCCCCACCATGTCACCTGCTGAGCCTGCGCAGTTGCCGGTTCTGCTTTTCCGTCGCAGGCCGTGATCGTGTTTAGTCGCTTCGAGGTGTGGAGATATATATCGTTCTCGGGTTGCTTGACCATCGTTCGATCAACAAGTGGCCTGTTCAGTCTTTCTGCTCTCTTTGTGTGTACATTATTTCGTCTGTGTGGTTAGAAATCCACAACGCATGTTCGTGCCACCCTCAAAATATCCTCTCCTCCACCCTCCCAAGCTATCGCCAGGGTCCTAGCTAACTAGAAGCTACTTGCAGATACTAGCTTCGATTCACCAATTGCGGGACCCCTTCCCCGAACCGTTGCTTTGATTCCACTGCAATGGCGACCGGAGAAGAGCCTGCCACGACGTCCCCCGCACAGCAGTCGAACCCAGCTAGAAGCTGGTGGAACCGGCTGCGGGGGTCTAATGCCCCTGAAACGCCCGCCATTACCACGAGTCAAAGCCCTTATCGCCCCAAAAGGACTCTGGGTATCCTAAGTGACAAGGAGACGGATGAAGTGCCTGGTACGTTGCCGCTGTAGGAACAATCATTTGCCTTTGGGTATGATCTTGCTGACATTCACATGCGAAACTAGGGACCGTTCTTCTACTCTCGTCAAATCGTAATGAGCCTCTCGGTCTGGAACATCAACCGCACCGCGAATCGCATTCGTCGCTGCCATCGCCTTATCCACCGTCTCGTTCCTCTTCTCGTGCTTCCCGTGCCTCTCGTGCGCGCCAGCAGAAAAAGAAAACCCCGGATGGCAACATAGTGTTGGAGCCTCAACCCGATGACTCCATGAACGATCCCCTCAATTGGCCTGTATGGCGGCGAGATGCAGCTCTGGTGTCGTTGGGGTTCTATTGCCTGATGGGAGGCGGTATGACCCCCATTTTGGCCGCCGGTTTCAGTCAGGTAGCTGCTGCGTATGATGTGACCACCCAGAAGGTTGCATATACGACGGGGTTGTACATGTTGGGTCTTGGGATTGGGTCCGTGATCATGTCTCCTACAGCTATTCTGTATGGAAAGCGGCCGGTATACCTTCTCGGAGCGACCCTCTTCATTATTTCAGCAGTCTGGTGTGCACTGTCACCCAACTACCCCAGCTTGGTCATCGCTCGTATCTTCCAGGGCATCGCAGTAAGCCCGGTCGAGTGCCTTCCCTCTGCCACTATTGCCGAGATCTACTTCCTGCACGAACGGGCGTACCGGGTCGGTATATATACCCTCCTGCTCCTAGGAGGCAAGAACCTGATTCCCCTAGTGAGTGCAGCTATCATCGGGAGTCTGGGGTGGCGCTGGGTTTTTTGGATTGTTGCTATCGTCGTTGGCGCTTGCCTCGCCCTTCTTTTCTTCTTTGTCCCCGAGACATTCTGGGATCGCACACCTCGGCCACGAAAGGCTCACAAGCGTCCCAGCTTCTACCGTAGCGTGTCGAACATTGTGTCCCATGGGTTGCGCGGTCGACCGCCTCACGCTCATCGCCTGGAGGAGAATCCGCCGGATGATGACCCCAGCTCTCTAGAGCCGAAGAAGTCCAAGAAGGGTCATGTTGGGTTTGTGGATGACCATGACGAGGAACCAGAGACCATCTCTGAGAAGATAGAGGAGCCGGCTGGCCAGGATCCTATATCGTCAACACCAGAGCGTCCTGCCACTGAGTCGACGCCAAGCGAAGACCCTGAGAAGGCGGATGGGCTCCTTCATCCTCCGTCATTGGCACACATTCACCCCCATGATCTTGAAGCTGCTCGGGAAGCGGCGATCTCCCCAACTCGCAGTGAGTCGCTGGACCCGGGTCCGCCGATCACGTCGGCGGCTCAGTACACCAACCGACTCCGGGATCAGCCGCCCGTCCCGTTTACTTACTATCTCCGCCTGTGGAATGGCCGGATTGCTCACGACAATTGGCTACGTGTCGCGGTGCGGCCATTCATTCTATTTGCATATCCTTCTGTGCTGTGGTCAACTGTAGTGTATGCCTTGTCTGTCGGCTGGCTCATTGTGCTGTCCGAGTCGGTTGCTACAATTTATGAGCAGCGAGACACTTACAACTTTACTGCGCTGCAGACTGGTCTCATTTACATCTCACCCTTCGTGGGCGGCTTGCTGGGTACCGCTGTTGCTGGTAAGGTGTCTGACATTATTGTGCAATATATGACACGACGCAACGGGGGCGTCTACGAGCCGGAGTTCCGGCTGGTGATGGCGATTCCCATTGCCATTTCGACCACCATTGGACTGATGGGATTCGGTTGGAGTGCGCAGGAAAAGGATGCTTGGATTGTGCCCACCATCTTCTTCGGGATCATTTCATTTGGATGCTGCCTGGGAAGCACGACATCCATCACCTTTTGCGTCGACAGCTACCGCCAATATGCCGGGGAGGCACTGGTGACATTGAACTGGAGTAAGAGTAAGTTGCACCAAACATAGCATTCCCGAGTGATGTGGATCCGCAAACTAATGATTGATGCAGATGTTTTCCATGGGCTGATCTTTTCGCTGTTCATTGTTGACTGGCTGGATGCTGAGGGCTCCCGGTTGGTGTTTATCGCGCTGGGAGTGATCCAGCTGGGCTGTCTATTGTTTTCGATTCCCATGTACATTTATGGCAAACGGGCCCGGATGTGGACGGTTCGGATGCGCCTGATGGAACGATTCTAGAGGGCCGAGTGCCGGGCCGGGACCCTATTGGAGGGACGGATCGGATGATTCTTGATTTTGGCTGTAGATCTGGGCTGTATCATGATACCTATCTATATTAGATCGTACATATAGTTGACTATTTGCTGACGATTGGAGCTGTCATATCGCCATCGAGCCCCATTCGACTGTGGGAGCAAGCCCTGCGGGGGTGCTGGGGCTGATGTCAAGGGAGGGGGAGGGCGGAATGTCATACAGCATCCACAATGAGTAATTGTGCCCTGCAAGTCATCTTTTTCATGAATATGGAGAGTTGTGGGTGTGTGTGTGTGCCTGTGTCCCGGGCTACCCACACAGCCACCCTTAACACATCCCACAGTCACCAAATTAATTTCAATTAAAATCCCGTCCCCATCCAAAAGTAAGGATCTCAAGTACCCATCCCAGTATTCTACTAGACCCGGTTAAGCAAGCCACAAAACTCCCCGCCCAATCCGGATTCTAGACCGCTTAGTCACCGCCATTGCAGGGCCTGCCAGTTGAATGGCGGGCTGAACGGGCACCAGCTGCAGCCCATGTCGATCATGATGCGCCCCACGACGTCAGAGAGCAGATGGGGCATTACTAGTGACTGCCTTAATCAATTTGCCATCTCATTAGTGTGTAGATGTGCTGCAGCGGCTGAGCAAATCCGCACAAGATAGATAGACAGGTAGGAAGGACCTCGACACCTGAGGAATGAACCAATGCGGCCAGACTGGCCCCTGACTGGTGGCTTGCCAGCCCGGAAACGGGGATTTAGGGCCAATGAGAATCCACAGCAGACCCCTTGACCAACTGAATTGAGTCTAGCGCCAAACAGCAAAACCGGTATTGCGATGTAGAGACTGACCAATCACGAACGGGAATCGTCAGGCTGAAATCAATCTGAAATGTGTTTTGAATCACGGCGCGGAAGGGAGACCCTCGGTTACGGGGTCAGTTGGAACCAGAGGAACGCAAGCAAAGCAAGTTGTATGATTAGACAATTCGATACTTTGGGTACCTGGTGGAGTTGGCAAATCGATCACTTGAGGTCCCACGCCATCCCATTCGTCGGGGCATCCGTCCATCATTCTGATCCAGTCTGCCAATACCTTCATTTTCGCTTGCCACCTTTTACTCTTTTCTCGGTTGCCACGGGATGACTCCCAGGTACTGAGCACTGACTGACGACGCAACCCCCCCAAAAGTAGTTGAATTTGTGCCTGTCTGCCGTGGAATAAGCGTGGGCCGGAAATCCGACTTCCCACGGCTGCCATCTACTTCCAATACTGGCTCTGCTCGACAACAGACGCACTTTCGCCCTCTCCTGCACGCAGTTCCTTGATATTAAACAGCTCGCTTTCCAACCTTGTTTCAGAGCTTTCCCTTTCTTTTTCTTCCCTTTCCCCTTCGCTTGCTTTTTCCTCTTGCTGCTGCTTCTTCCTGATCTCTCTTCATCCTTTCTCTCCCTTCCATCAGCAGTTCTTCCTCCCTTCCTTCC